AAAAACTTTCGTTGGACGAATTTTCTTGTAAACTTCATATTTACTGAGATATCGCACTTTGACGCACTAATGAGCAACCCTGTATATTGTATTGTATTGTATTAGAAATCTTGTTGAATTTACCGTTTACCCTTGTCTATTTTGATGTCACTCTGTATAATTCCATGGTTACCGCTGTTTTAAATAATTACGAAGCAACAGGTATTTGCGCAATGTTAATTAGACATATTACCTTGAAAAACATTGCTGCCGTACTTCTGATATAGTTTTTTGCAAATTTCTCAGTTTTTAATAACAATTAATTTCATTTACTATTTTTTCTGTACTCCTATAACAGCGCCAGACAACGCTTCCAGAGGAATGACGCCAACTTTGAATCACCCTGGATTTATGTGAATTTCAATATTGCAATTTTCCTAAACTTTTCACGTTCTCTCTCATTGTTTAAATCTAGAAAAGCTTCAATCTAAGCACGCTACAAATAGACTTATCTAGTCAAATTCTCTATATGATTTAATTCATTAATTGGGAAGTTCCATTTTGCAAAAAATGCTTTTTAGATACCACTATAGTTCACCTAGTGGGTCATTCTTAATATTAACTTATAAGAAAAAAAACTTCCCATTAGTGTGCAGAGTGGGCAAAATAAACAGAACTTTACAACGCTTCGAACAAAGTTTCGGAAGTGAAGTTTTGCTTAAGACCTTTTCATTTTGCGCTTACCAAAATGAGATAAATGAGAACTACTTAAACTTTCTGGGAACGGAGAAATAAAAAAACGTGTTACGAACTGTGCAGCAAGTTTTCGGGTTTATTTTTTGCCTACAGCARGAAAGTATGAGATTTCCATGCAAAAACGTGGTCCAATATATTTTAGAAAAAAAATCGAGTTTAAAATCSTCTAAAAATGACCCCATTATGCGCATCTATATTTTCCACTTTTGGATTTTTGAGGCTGCAATATTTCAGTCTATTTTTTTTCTTTCTAGTCCACTTTGATATTGGAGTATTTATAGTTATGGAAACAATATACAGGGATGACCAATGAAAAGTTCCTGTTGCGAGTTTTTCAATTCAATTGTTGTTGTAAAAACACAGCAAACGTTCGATTACGTCATTTTTTATTTAAGAGGATTTTCGTTTTTTCTTTTTTTTAATTTTATATGGGATGGGGGGATTGAGTGATTGTTTTAAAGATATTTTAACCCTGTTACAACCTACAATTTTGTTGATTTATCAACTCATCACACATTGCATAAGTACTAGGCAGTTGTCCAATGTTTCTTACATACCGCGAACAAGCGAATATAAACTTTCCTGCTTTCTGAAATAAAACTCGTACAAATCGTGTTAAGGTCATGGTACTAGCTTTACTGAAAAGGCAATTGTATGCCATTAGTGTGATTTGGAGCGCGGCTGTCTCAAATGAAGAGCAATCTGGAAGCCGAATTTTCGACCACTTCCAAAATTCCACCAGACTATAAAACACACCACACAGTGATTTTTTATGGATATAACGGTGACTCAATAATAGCTTCTGGATTTTCGTCGCTGCAGTTCGCCAATTTGGTTTATTTACGCAACCATTAAAAATTACAAACCTACAAGAACTGCTCGATTTCGATTGCTCTAATTGTAAAATGCTTGCAATTAGAAAATAGCTCTGATCTACCACATGGTTATCCAATATAATAAAATTTGTCATGTTGAACAAAAAATTACAGATTTGACAATAAATTCGATACAGTTTTATGGAATGTGTCAAACTTTTGGCCCCCTCTGTATATGTTTCAAGTTCCTTCCCACAACGTTAGATAAGATCTCTCTTTAACCGTTTTAGCAATAAAATGTATTGTAATATAAATTGTGTGGTCGTATAAACAAAGCTTATAAAAGCCGGCTACATTTTATGTTGTCTGGCTAAAATGGCAAACCTGAATGCTCGCTTGGTAACGTTGCAGGAGCAAAAACTATTGTAAGGTTTTAATTAAAATTTTTGTTATCTGTGGGTGACATTTTTCTCGAAATCTAAGACGGCAGTTTTGCTGGGAAAGAGCTGAATTGCGACCCACTAAGCTAACGTTCAAGAAAGGAAAAGAGACTGCCCTGAAGATGGAATGTAATAAGTTGATTAAGTGAAGACATGGTTTTCCCCATAAAACTCCTAATTTAATTATCCCAAACTCTCATAAACGGCGGATAGTATTTATGAAATAAAAGCTTATATGGTCTTTACAAGGTTGTCTTGGTAGCATTTCTCCAAGGTTTTGAATTTATATCATAATTGTGTTCAATTTCCCATAATTATTATTTGGAGTAATCAAATACGGCCAAAAATATTTCTTTAAACGTCTTTGCTTATTTTAACAGTTTGTACAAGCAGTGTACATTTGTGCCACAATATCCAGATTTAAACCAGATTCTAGCACTCCTTCATTTCCATGAAATCATCAGTTCTATGAAAATAATTAGTTTTCATAGTCAACTGGTTGCTTTATCTACAAACTGAAATGTGTAACAGTAAGCAAAAGCTCGATTTCAAGACATATTGTGTCTGGATTTAAAGGTTATTTCTGGCAATTTTAGGTCAAGTTGGATTCAAGCCCGGCCCTGCACTGGGTAGACTGTGTGGAGCATATAATTGCGACCTTAGCAATGAGGAAAAATCCAGGATCTTGCATAGGTATTCGGGACATGCTAAAATTACCAAAGCTAGAAGTAATCCACATGATTCTCAGAAGGTAGTCCACGACGAAGTTATGCTGGAAGTACGTATTTTTCAGATTCTGCTTGCTTAAAGTTGTGTTGCATTTTTCCTATAGAGAGTAATTTGCATTCTTCCGCCCGTAACATACTAAAACACCTGGTGTCCCAAATACTGAACTGAAAACAAAGTAAGAATCTTTATTTGGAAATGTGTGAATATTATTTTAATTTTAGTTGCTTTATGTATTTGAAATATGGTCCCTATCTTAATGTGTGCTTTTTGAGGAAATAACAATTATTTCCTAAAAACTCGGTAAAATTCACGGCATTTAAATGCTCACTTTTGGTTTTGGAAGTTAAAACCAGTTATTGGACAGGCTAATAAATGGTGTCTAAAAATGTACCCAACTTACGTTTCTTGTTGCTTTTGAGACACAAAAAATCGCGTTTTTTTCTCATAGAAAAATATTTATCGTAAGTTTTCTGGATCTTAAATTGAGTGAGTCTCTGTATATTCGTTAATATAAAGACTGTGAAGTTGAAAACTTGCATCTGATCATCTTTTGATAGGTTAATAGTCCAGTCAGATTATACTTTAAAAGGCCCGTTTCGGGCACTAAATAGATAAAGATAAAGTTTATTGGAAGTTGTTTGGAAGGATGTCAGAATATTGGGACCATGGTTTGAGCGCGATTTTCGGCTGTAGAAGGAACATTGTTTAAATAATTAAAGAAAGTGCGAAACCCGTTTTTTGCGCATAACTTTAGAACCGTTGATGCTATTGAAGAAAAGTTTGATAATTTTTTTCAAGCATTAAAAATACCTACAATATAATACAAAATGAATTAAAATATATTTTTTTTACTCAAAAAATGAAAGAATTGCCGATTTTAGCGTTTTTTTTTCATTTTCTTTAATTAATTTAGTTTTGCTTCAAAAAAAATCGTAATTTTTCAGCCGCGGGATAGTTGCGAGTGCGGCTCACAACATTCCTGATTTCCCGCATAATGTTTGAACAATTTACCATTCAGTAATTAAATGTTCTTTTATTGTTCGTTGTATTGTAAATTTTTGCGAGGAAAATACAGCCTCAGAGTCTCTCAGTCTCTCCGAGGTCTCAAGAAAAACTTATTTGGAATCTGACAAGAGCCCATTTTACATAACAAATAGGAATGAACAAAAAGTTATAAATATTTTAAGCTAAAATATATATTATTTATAAAGTATATGAAGAGCTTCAAAAAAACTTATAGCGAGATTTTTTTGAAATAAAACTAAATTAGTTATAATTTTTTTTTCGTTTTTTTTATTAAACAAATGAAAGGATTTTAATTTAGTTTGTCTCATATTGTGGGTATTTTAATACTTGAAAAAAATATTTAACGTTTGGAAAAAGCATCAACGGTTCTAAACTTATGCGCTTAAAACGGTTTTCGCACTTTCTTTAATTATTTAAACAGTGTTCCACAGCCGGGAACCGCGCTGTTGTTCCAATATTCTGACATACTTCTAAACAACTTCCAATAATGTTTTATCTGCATCTATTTAGTGTTCGGAAAAAATCTAATCCGACGACTATAAATCGTGGCCGCTTCTTTCGCCTGGCTGAGAGCATGTTAAATAAAATGCACCATGCACCATAAAAACTGGGCAACTCGAGCTGCTTATGATTTAAATCTTCAAAATATTGCTGAAACTGCATATCAAGTCTTTTCCAATCAAGTTTTTAAATGTTGAGCCTTTAGAGATGTGGGCCTTTATAAGAATTGTATTCCCGTTTTTTCGAAATTAAACATTTCTGAAAAAGCCTAATTAGGAAAATGAAACTCTCAAAACAAAATATTGTTTGGTAATTGACATTCAGCTCTGAAACTTCAAAAACTTTTTTATTTCTACATTTTTCTCTATAGCTTTTTAAATATTATGAATTTCCAATAAAACACAATCAGTATAAGTAGCGTTATGGTTAATTAGTGACCGTGACGATAATCAGTAAATGACGCCTATTTAGGTCTGTGAGTGTTCCAGTCAATAGATGGTGGCAAAAATAAAACACTGTTCGCCCTGAGCCGACGTTTCGACTATATTTAAGTCATCCTCAGGGATCTAAGTAGTTAGTGCCATATTTACACCAAATACACAGAAAGGGCAACATACTGTTCGAGGTAGGTGTATTTTTAGACAGTCTAAAAATTAGGCCGTTGGCCCATGAAAAATAGTGTTTTCTTTCTGCTCCCATCTATTCACCGAAAAACCCACAGACCTAAATAGGCGTCTTTTACTGAGTATAAGTAACAATTATTAAAGTTACTGTTGTTATACTTTGAAACCTTCTGATTTTTATTTTTTGAAGTTGTTGGATGTACTCTCGAGATAATCAAAGAATATTTGAAAACATAAAATTAAAATATATCTAAAATTGTCCGTTAGCATCAAATCTGCTTACAAGTTATTATACCTAATTGCTTATACCTGTTATACCTTATTATACCTACCTGCTTAAGTTATATCCAACGGAATGAATTGATTAATCCAAAAATCCAAAATCATTTTCAATTGCAATGTTCTCGAACCAATTAAATAATTCCCATTAATCCACCTCAGGCATTAGCGTCCACCTGTGCTGATTTTGGTTTATTCTAAATGGGTTTGTTTTCGAATTCGAACAATAGTGGAAATTGCGTCTATTGATAGATCCTTCATTTTGATGCAGCAAACAACCACAAACGTTTTAATAGTTTGTGTTATGTTCAACCCCAATAGCCCACTTCAATTAGTTTTTAAAAGCATTGTGGGAAAATTATGGAACTTTATTAAGGTTTTCCAGAATATCTGGAACTTGGTGATATTTTTATGTTGCTTTGTTCATTGTTCGCCCAAGGAATAGCCAGCCTAAATTTTTTAGTGGTTTTATATTAGAAAAATTACAGTTTTTTAACGATTACCCATACCAGCAAAATATTCACCATTAATTACAATAGAATTGGCATAGACTTGGTGTGTAAGAGATATAAACTTTTAGTACTTTTAGTGTCATAAAAATGCTTTAAACTTGTTACATGTTGAACAACACTTGATAATATGGATTTAGGAGAAGGATGCATAAAGCTATAGGTATATACAACTATAGTAAAAAAAAATACATCTCATATCATCATAAAAAATGAGCTGTTTGTTCAATTAATCCAGTTATTGTTATGTATTGCAAATTAAAGCATGTTTCTATAGCAGCACGTTTTTGTTAAATGGATGTTCAATTTTCATGAGCATCCTGGAAACACGCGTATATTCGAGGTCTTAAGGTGAGATATAACGAAGCTCAGTTTTATAATAATAGATGAAAATAATAATGAATATTTTATTTTGTTTAAGATAAATACTACTTTACTTTACTCAAGTATTAAGGCAACCAGAATATGTGCATACTTTACATTATTAAAAATTGACTATCGAAAAATTAAATGTATCGGAATGTTTATAACAAAAAACCTTATAATTCTACATAGAGAACATGTTCGCTGCAGAGTGAAAGGTCGAAGTCATTACAAAATAATCGTGATGGAACGCTTGATTACTAAATAAAACAACGTTAAACATGGGGGCACCAGGATAAAAGTGTTTGCTTATTGCAAACGAGGAAAACATGGGAACATCCTAATTTTGAATATTATCACCTAGTCGTTAATTGTGTTAAAAATCTGCCTTTGCTTTTATGGACTCATATTAACCTTTTTTGAACCCCAAGTAATGTTCATAACGGCCTTAACCCCTTTTGACTGGCTTCCATCTATACTGCCATAATTTTCCACTTGGTACTTTCTGAGAGTTAGTGTTTTTATGATTTTTTATTTTTTCCATGCTGGCTGGATATTTAAAGCTTTTCCCTTGGCTTACTGCCCCATTCCATTACATACACTAGTTGTTTTACTTCAATTGGAGCTTTGCTTATTTCATTACATTTTCATTAGAAATATTTAACTAAAAGTTTATTGCGTTTTAAGGAAAAATGAAAAGAAAGTTGTGTTTTCTCACGTCAGAAATAGTTATTGTGATTTAGTGTCTAGACCAATAATATAATATAAAAAAGAAAGTTACAAATCAGATCCACTTGTGTTGACCTTTTTGTATGTACTCTTCTTTTCAGATTTCTTTAGTTAAATTTATTTAGAAACTGGTTTCTGATGAGTCCCAAAGAACACAATTTGTATTTGTAAATATGTAGGAGTTCGTTCCTACTACATGTTGAATTGCATTCTTGCAGCATTCCATATAAATGATCAAATATTTACAATCCGCTGCGCGTGCAATTTTAGGATCTATATAGAAATATCTACAAACAAACAATCGCAAATATTTAGTCATCGTAGAACACCATTATAATAGTCCGTAATTAAAAAGTAAACTATTGTATAATAATTAGGTGGCTCTGATTGAACATCCAACTAAGTAAACATTTTATTTAACCCAAATATTGGTTCTGTATTTTTTATTATTATTTATAACAGGGAATATGGCCTTAAAATCTAAAAGCTAGAGTTTGCAATTTATATAGAGAAAACATAAGTATAACTCAGTCATTAGGGATGATTCAGTTGAAATTATTTTTTAAGTCGTTGTGTGTAAATCTAAATCCATAACATCTTATGCTGCTTCTTTGCTCTTGCCACTTCTGTGTGTGAATCTTTTTGGCAATGACAATGCGATAGAGTCCACTTCTACAATTGGAAAATAAGAGCAGCAACCCAAAGATTTATGAAATATATGTTTAATGTATCAATAAAATAAATATTTTTTTATTCAAAGCACATGGCCACATATTCTCCTGTATCCGCACGATCTCGATACAACCTCAATATGCACAGTGGAGGCCCTATAAAGCGAATAGATTCTTTAGCAAGCTCTATTGGAGCTACATCAGTTAGAAGATTACTAACGGTTGTTCGAGGAGCGGCCAATAACAGTTCCATGGGTAAGTACCAATAAAAAAGTAATTTTTTTCGGTCTGGTTCGTAACGCGTTGTTTAAAATAAATTGAAGGGACGATGAGAAAATTAACTATAAAAAGCGGACGTTCATGGTTAGTCAAAATATCGATTGAATAGTTTTTCGGACTTTAGCAAGCCCTGGACCATTAGCATTTTTAAACGTGTAAGTTTTTCGAGGATTTAGGCGGTCGTACAATAGAGTTTCTTCCTGGCCTTTCCCAAGCTTACACTGATGATAAACTCTCAAGCAAACCATCTCTGAAGATGTAAGCCACTCGTGGTTGTGAAACGTCAGAAAGAAATTCTATTGTACGACAGCTAAAAACCCGAAAAAAACTCACAAGTTCCAAGCCATGGCCTCCCAAGCCATTTACATTAGAGTCTTGTTCGGTGTTTGGTTTAATTTTCCTGCTTAGAACATCTTTGCGATATTAAATTAAGACAATCTTTCCTTAGAAATAGAGAAAGATTCAAATGATGTGTTGATGATGTGTTGAAAACTTAAGTTTTTCTCGAAAAATACATTTTGGTGTAGTATTTTGTTCAAGTAAATATAGATTAATATTATTGCAAATCGCTGAAATTTTGAACGGAGAAACAGCTTCTGTTGAAAGTCATTTTCAACTATTAGGTGAAGGTTTAAGATGCCCAGCAAGTTTCATAAAAGCAGTTTGTTTTGTGTTTTGCCATGTGAAAGTTTATGAAACCATTATTGTAACAATCGGAGTTCCTAAAAGGTTAAGAACGAGAAGAAGAAGAAAAATTGCAAAATAGGAAACAGATCAGAGTGGCATCTGAAAATGATCTATTTAATTTAAGAATAAGTTTAAAAAGTATTTAAATCATTAAAATGAAGCTCAAGTTCTTAATACCATTTCGCGGCATGTTAATCGAATGTAGTAAATACAATTCTTACATTGGAATCGCGTTTATGAAAGACACATATCGATTTGCAGAAGAAATGATAGCAGATAAATTTTATTTTCTAGTTTTAATTTTTTTATGGAACATTCTGAATAAAAAATTACAACTTTGTATAAATTTCAATCCGAAATGGTTAAAGTGCTTTTTAGAAGAAACAAGTAGGCCCAAAGTAATTAATAAAGATGTTTCGGCCAGGAAGCCTCTCAATTAAGTTCCTGTTTCAATTTCAGCTTTCGTTTCCAATTCAGAAAAGTTTTATTCTTCGTAATTACTGTTACTTTAGCGGTTTATTGAATATTTATTTTTGCTGAATTCAACTAATATATGTGTTAATATATTTAGTATGATTAGGTATTAACAAAATTATTTCGTACCCAGTGCTCTTTCTATTAGGTATAA